TTCTCAACTACTACCTGAAATGTTGGCAGTTTGAAACCACCCAGAAGAACCTCAGGAGACAAGTCAGTGATCTTTTTCTGGTAGGTCTTGAAAACCTTATGGAGCAGTTTCTACTCTTCATACATACATGGGTCACTATGAATTGGAATCAATTCTGTAGCAACTAACAACAACAATATGCATGTAAATGCTATTCAGATACAGCAAAAAGTATGTTAATTTAAATTATAAAGAATAGTAATTTAAATTTGGCACTGTGTGTGCCTTTTTCATAGTTTCAAATTATCCACAAGGCATACTTGCTTTTATAAATAAATATGTATTTAAAAAAACAAGTCTATTTCAGCCATGAGAGCTCTGGTGGTGTAGTGCCTAAGGCATTTGACTGCTAACCAGAAGGCTAACAGTTCAAACCCACCAGCTGCTCCTCAGAAGGAAGATTGGGCAATGTACTTCCATAGAGACACTGCTTTGGAAACCTGAGGAAGGGTCCCTGTCAGTCGAATCAACTCAAACCAGTGAGTTTGTTTGTTTATTTCAGCTATAACTGTCTACCATACAAATATGGACTTGATAAACAAATACACTTCTGATACATCTCTTTCAAATTTGAAGCAGAGCATATTCATTGTTTGTGGTCAAAACATGTTAGACATAGTCATTTCAAATCATAACCATAGCCTGTTATAGCTATAACATGTTATAACATTCTATAACATAGCCATAGCCTGTTATAGAAGCTATAACAGTTTGACTGACAGTTTATAACACAAATGATTCTGTGCCAGTTTCCAGACCTCAACCTTAAACCATACTCCTTCCTTTTGGGAAAACTTCAACTTAGCCCTACACTGAAAAATCTCAAGTAGATCATGCAGGCATACAAGTAGAGGAACTCGGCCACAACAATGGTTAAACTCTTGGCAGACAAGTAGCACCAACTTGTCAGCCAGGTAAATGAACCATTTTGAAAGTGGAACCTCCGGTCATCAACTGAGACACCCTAGCTAATGAAATATAAACAAGAAAGGAGGATCACTTACTCCCAAATTTCAGATATATGAGCAAAATAAACAACTGCTATTTTCTTAAATCACTAAATTTGGGATGACTTATTAAGCAGTAATGGATAAACAAAGCAACAAAGTAGGACTTGAATCAAGAGTGGTTAAGATTATGAGATTATAAAAATGACTTTAGCATTTCACCAAAGCAGGGTTAAATTAGATATAAAGAAAAGAAACAGATTAGAAGAAAGTAAATGCAAAACAAAGTCTGGTAGAATTGATTAGGCTAATATAAATACACAGAGTCACTGTACCAAAGAGAACTGATCGATCTTCATCCATTTCAAGAAGTGGCATATGATCTAGAACCAATGGTAATGAAGGAAGAA